CAAGTAATGATGCAGCAACTATTTTCAGGTTGATGAATATTTATGGAGCATCTACTATTTTGAAGGCATTGGGGTAGATGCAAAAGTGAAGTCAACAGTCCTTGTTTTTATAGGTCGTAAAGGCAAGAGTGTGTGGTAGATGCCCAGGTGAGCTGGAAATCGTGAAAGACAGAGAGGAAAAAGAGAAGAAAAAGTTAAATTATGTACATAAGTAATCCAAGCAGAGATTTCATCTCATAAGTGAGGCTGTAGATGATAAATACTTATGCCAGAATACAAATATGTTCTATTGTTCATAGATTTTAGTAGAAAACACGTCACTCAGAGTAGTAGCTGGTGCAGTAAAACCAACAGGTGATGGAGTTAGATTTTGCCTCCTCCAGGAAACCTTCACTGACTATCCTCCCCACACTTTCTCATCTCCTGGTTCTATTGTTCTCTGTGCTAGCTCCATATTTATGCTTACCATAGTGAAATACAAAAGTTCTTTGTCCTTTGCACATGTGTTACTCTCATTAGACTCTGAAATCTTGAGTTTGGCTCCATAACTTGGCTTTAGGAAGTTGGCACCTATGGTAGAGATGAGTGAGTGTATGTGTGTATGGGGGTGACTGTTGAGATGTACTGAGAGTCCATTCAATACAGAACATGGTAGAGTTCTCAGTACAGATTTTGTTGGCTAAATAATGTCAATTGAGAAATCAAGGGTAAAAGGTTTAGAAGTCATCTTTCTAAGAGCCTCAGAGTTTATATTCAAATGAAAACTTGGAGAGAGGGCTAAAAATAAAGTAGACTCCTTCCAAACTTTGATTCAAGGGGCTAGCATCAGGACTATAGAAGCGCCTTTATTGAATCTAGAAACTCACGTTGAGAAACTCTGCCCACACCTCAGAACTTCCCTACAAAACGATAGCTTGTTTTTCTAACTAATTCTCCATGCTAACCTACGGACTCAGAGAAGGCAGATTTTTATAATTCTTATGGTTTGACAAACCATAAGAATGTTTTCACTCCTGAAACTTGGATTTTAAAATAGCTCTTTGGATAAAACATCTTTTCATAGATATTTCTCCTGGTTCATTCCTAACTTGTGATCATTTTAGCATGTAAAGCTGCAAATTATGTAGCATCAGCTAAGGCCCACTTCTGCCTCCATAGAGGTCTAGAAACAAACAGACAGGTAGAGGGATGAAAGTAGGGATCTCTGAAGACAGTTTTAAACAAATACCGCTAACTTTAAGGAATGATTAATGAACGAGGATTTGGGGCCACTCCACCCCCAGGCCCAATTTTCTAACTATCCACTTAAATATATCTTAGCTATAGCAAGATCTAACTTCAGACACGTGAATGGCCAAGAAATTATTGGCAGTGTCTCTCAAAGTGTCACTAAATCAATATTGCCTAGAGTTGTAAACACAATACATCTTCACTCAACCCCATTGTGATTTCAAAGTCAACACAGAGATTTCATAAACAGAGAAGCAGAGTGTCAAGAGCGAAGGCCAAGAAAGTAATTTGAATTGCAGACTTTGATCCCCAAGCCAGGGATGCTGGCTCTGCAACTGTGGTGTACTGAAGGGCATTGACACTTTCCATACTGTAATGAATGATGCTAGAAGAACGCTTAAAATTCTGTAAGCACTCTCCAACCAGAGGCCCCAGGAACCCTCTGAAAGAGGCTGCATTCTGGCAGACAGCACAAAGGGGATGAGAAGTGAGGGATTGGGTGGGGGGTCATTAGGAAAGTAAGAGAAGGTCAAGAAATCACAGCTCTTAACCAAGACCATTTCATGGGCAGCTTGCCAGCTATTGGGCAAGTGGAAGATAAGGCTCTCTTAATAGGAGGTATCTATAAAGCACAATGCTTTGAATCTACAAAGGTACTTGCAAAACCATTGATAAAGACACTCATCATGTGTTTTGTAAGTCCTATGACCTTGTTTTAACGCTGTTTATTTTAAGAAGTCAAGGGGCAGGATGAGAACACTATTAGATTTAAGCAGTAACAGAAACCATTCCTCAGCATAAATGAGTGGGACCTTTCCTGCACATTGTCAGCACCATCTATTTCTCAGAAGAACTTGGCATCTGATATTCTATGCTAGGATTGGTGGCCAGACAATGATGTGATGCCACCACAGCAGCACTTACCGAGTATAGGTGGTGGCCCTGAAGTAACTGCCAAAGCTGAAAAGCAGTGATCGCACAATATCTTGAGTAGAAAAGAGAAACATTAAAAAAAGAAAAAAAACTAAATGACTCAAATGAAATACAGGAATCAGAGTAGAAATTTAAGAAAAGTTACTTACAAGCTGTAGTTATCATTGATGCACATGTAAAGACATTGGCTAGTACTCCACCTAGAAGCCATCTGAAATGACAGGATTGCTTAGATTTAGCATTCTAACTCTTCATCTCCAACCTGTGCCATGTTCTTTTAGACATACTGTAGTGATGGTGGACTGGCAAGGTGATAGACATAAAAGGGAAAAAAGAAGACAGAAATATACTCTTGTGGAAATAGTGAAGTGATATTTAATAGAGATACACAAGTAATTCAATAGAAAGGGCAGTCCTTTCAGCAAATAAAACAATTGGATATTCACAGGTAAAACAACAAATTCTCAGGAAGTGGAGAGAGCTTCAACTGGTAGAGTGGTAGCCTTGAGCAAGAAAAGCTAAAGAACAGTGCTTAGGCCTGAGTTTAAACTCTAAGCTGGCACACACACACACACACACACACACACACACACACGAACAAACTCTCACAAATAATTTCATACACAAAGTTTAACTTAAAATGAGTGGGAAATGTAAAAGGATAAAAATTGAAGAAGAAATTGTAAATGGAAAACTTTAAGACTTTGGCTTTGGCAACAAGTTGTGAAATCCAACCCAAATGCACAATTTGTGATAGAAAAAATGACAAACTGAATGTTATGAAAATTAAAAAAGCAAATGCCAAAAGGATGAAGTCAGTGCACAATTTGGGAGAAAATATTTGTAAACCATATATGTGATGAAGCACTTCTATCTAGCATGTATAAGAACAATTAAAACTCAATAATAAAGCAAATAATCCATGTACGAATGGTGAAGGAGCCATAGTCCTAGCTATTTGGGAGGCTGAGATCTGAAGGATCATGGTACAAGACCAGCCTGGGCAGAAAATTTCTTTAGACTCCATCTCCAAATGAACCAGCACAAAACATGGCTAGAGGCAAGACTTAAGTGATAGAGGGCCAGCCAAGAAAATCTGAAGCCCTGTTTTTTTTGTTTTGTTTTTATGTTTTTACCTCAGTATCACAAAAGAATGAAAGATCTGACAGGTAGTGAACATTTAAACAGCAAGAGACAAGAGACCACTGCACAACCATTAGAGTAGTTAAAAATCTTCAAAAGGCCAACACCAAATGCTAGTGAAGATGCTGAGCTGCAGGAAGTCCCATCTATTGCTGTTGAGAATAAAAATGGTGAAAACACCTAAGAAAATAATTTAGCATTGTCTTGCAAAATTAAGTGTAAGTTTATTATAGAATCCTAAAATACCATGTCTTGGTATGTACCCAAACTGAATTAAAACTTTATTTTTAAATCCATGTAATCCTTTGTAGAAACTTTATTGAAAGTTTTTTAAAACTGGAAGCAACCAAGATGTTTTTCAACACATGAATATATAAATGAAACAAAACATACCCGTACAATGAGCTATTATGTAGGAACAAAAAAGGAATGAGGTATTAGAATATTATATTTATTGTTGTTATAACTTGATACATTATAAAAACATTGCAACTAAGAGAGGCAAGTAATTTTCCATATTAAATGTAAGCAAAATGCTCTACAAGAGAATTCATTCTGGCAGAATAAGGAATTAAAAAAGACAGTGGTGGGAAAATATGTAGCTCCATAAGGAGCAACATTGAATGTGAAATTTTCCTGTTTTCACTAATGATCAAATTGGATTTTATGCTGACTTTTCTCATGGTTAGACACAATCTCATGACTGTGTTCCGGCTCTATGCAATCAACAAAATATCCCCCTACTGATGTTGACTTCATTCACTTGAAGTAGAACGGGCCAGATCTTAACCATGATAAAGACACCTTTTCTTCTTCTTTCCTTTCTCTCTCTTTGGGAACATGTTTCTAGATACAACTCACACTCAATAGATAAGGGCTTCCTAGCTCTCCAATATTGGGGATAGTATATGAACAAATTAACCTGAGAGAAACATTTCGTTAATGTGTTCCTATGGAACAAGTTGATCAGGGCTTCCTGAAACTTGAAAATTTGTAAGAATTTTTGAGATCACTGTGGGATCTCACTAAGCTTTATTCTACAAAGGCACATCATGATCTTCCAACTTGGAAGAATATACGATGCAGAATTTTGCAAATCTATTTTTAACCATTGGACCTCCCGCCTTCTGTTTGTTTGGTCCTATTGTGAACCAAAAAAAAAATGCTTCTCAATGCTTATAATTAACTGGGAAGCCTATTTTAAAATGCTGATTCTCACTAGGCCTAAATTAGTATACTAAGGGATAGAATCTAACACTTGATATCTGAAGGGTAGCCACCTCAAGAAATGTGAAGAATTGGACCCTCCAGAGAGACAAGACTTGAGAATAAGCAACACCTGCTGACCAGAATTCAAGGACCATCAGCTTCTAGGGCTGAATTTTTTGTGTTTGTCTAGTTGATTCAACAAATATCAATGAGGGTTTTGGCATGCAGGGTAGAGAAGTGACACACAAAAAGTCTGTTCTCAGGTTGCTCACATTCTGGTTGCCAGAGTTAGAGCAATGACATATAGACACTTGAACCTTTATTAGGTCAAGGGGTAATAAGTTCACTGACGAAAAGTAAAGCAAAGGGTACGTGCGCTAGAAAGTGATATGGTATTTACACATGGTGTCAGGAAAGGCCTCTCTGATGATGTCATCACATTTGAACCTATTCCTGAAAGAAGCAAGGGTGCGTGCTATGAGGCAGGCTACCTGGAGAAGATTTGTACCAGGTAGAGAGACCATCAGAGGCAAAGGTCACGGAGTCACGAGTGAACTTAACACTACTAAGAACTGACCACTGCCCTGGAGTTTTGGACAAAGAAAAGTTGGAAAGGCATGACAAGGCAATGTGGGGCAGAAGGTAAAGCAGAAACACACTTACAGTCACACCTCATCATTGCATTCTGATGGAGATGTCCTGGACACTCTATGTGTGGAGAGAATGTAAAAGTTCTCAGAGTCAAGATGGAGTCACTTGTGTCTAACAAAAATCCTAACAGAAAGTAAACAGGGCTAGAAAGTTATGAAGAAAGTGTTTTTGCATATGATTGCTTGGTGGTGACCATCACAAAAGACTGCCAGAACCAGAACCATATGTTTGCATGTAACCATAGCAACTGCATATAAAAAGTGCTTTTACCAGGACACTTGGCCCAAGTGTCCTCTTCCCCTTGTCTCCACCTCGTTCTTTGAATATTTAATCTACCCAGAGTTTACCACATTTCCATTACAGGGCCACAGCTACTCCCAGCTAAGTATCTTTACTCTTTGGTAAATCTTTTTCTGATGGTTCTTTTTCAGACTGAGGAATTTTAGGATGAAAAATACAATAGGAAAAATGAAATCTCAGTAGAGACTCTTTGTTTCCCACTGGGGACATCCAATGTCCTTGAGTTCAGGAAGGGGCACTTGCACTGGATCTGTGGCCTTTCAACAAAGGATAACACATGATATCATAAGTAAAATATACTAGCTTCTCTATGTTTTGTTGAAGAAAGAAAAGAGGAAGGTACGAGGTAGGAAAGCACTTACCCCTGTAGATAAATTAATAAATCTCAGCCATACTGCTACCTGAAATGCTTCATGGAAGAAGGCAAGAAAATCATCCATCAATTACAGACTCATTCATTATAAAACACCGCTGCATGAAAAGAAAATCTAAATTACCTTGCACAGGCACAAATAATGAAGCACAAGGCAAGCAGGACTGCTTGAAAGGAAGCCTCTCGAATCAGACAGGGTTCTAAGAGGAGGAGCAAATGCAAATGAGTTAGAAACCACTGTCATTAAATAAGCTGGGAACAACAAATTCATACTAAGGCTTCTCCTCTAAACAGTCTTCAAATGTATGTCAGTTCAAGCAATTAGCAATAAAGAACAAGATAGAATCACATAATGTCATATGGGGGCCATTCGTTAAAAACAGTCTACAAATAATCAGTTTCCTCTGTATTATAAAATAAAAGACAGGTTATACTACTTAACACAATTTTGGATTCTCCTTTTGCTTTCCCATTGAGGAAAGACTTTATAGAGTTCATGCTAATGTCAGGACTCTGAAGATGATGATAATGATGGTAATAGTAATGATGCCTAATATTTGTACAATGCCTAGCGATTCACAAGTAGCTTTCCTATACGAAGGTGATTTTATCAGCACAATGCTCATATAAGATGGCACCAATTATCTCAGGTCTGAAATGAGAAGAGCATGACTGAGAAAAATGATGAACTTGTCCAAGGCCACATAGCTATGAGGTACGGATGCCAAAACAACATCTAGATAGAACACAGTGTTTTGTCTAAAGTGGGGGCAGGAAAAGACAGTTGCAACTTAGCATGCTGGGAGGCTCTAAAGATCCAAAAAGAGAACACGAATTATGAAATATTTGTCCTTGCAAAACTCTTTCCAGTCAGTGAAATAATTCAGCCACCTGGCAAGCCACATTACAAATGAATGCAAAGCCTCCAGTAGTTATAAATATGAGAATTAAATCACTTGTCAACCTGAGTATTACTTTTTTCACTTGAAAGAAATCTGAACTGGTTTAAGGACTTCCACATAAAGATTTTAAAAGAATTCATAAACATCTCAACTAAGTTTTGCCATGCTTTAAAAACTCAGTTTTCTAAGAGCTGTTTAAAACTAGGAATAACTATGCTATGAGTGTATTTATTCTGGATATTCATTCTGTGAATGAAGACTGAATCAGCTACCAAAGCTACTTAGACCAGAATGTGGGCGGAATCCTGAAGCCTGGTAATAGAGGGGGTAGCAGTAGTAAACTATGTCCCTGTATATGTATAGTAGTACTTTATGCACACTGTGGATTAAATACATCAGTGAGGGTTCAATTGAACATTTAACCATGCTCCTAAAGTCTATCTCTAGTTTTCACCTCCCTTGATTTCATGTGGAGTTTGGAAAACATTTCCTAATAGAAACAAATCTAGCTGGAAAAATTGAAAAGAGCACTAGACATGGTATTGAAGGTAAATGGGCTGTTGGGTGATTTTGGCTCTCCCTTAGCTGTCAGTTGTTCTCTGTGTTGCTATCCTCCCTTCATATTTCCCTTAGAACTCTTACCATTTCATTTAAAATTCCTGGTTTATTTCTCTATTTTCTCTCACTTGGCTGCACACTGTTGACAGAAGCAGCATGGAGGTTTTCCTTGAAGAATCATCTACCTCATCTACCCTTTGTCTACTGTGTGGTGTAGACAGAATGACTAAGTTCACTGCTTTCCAAGCATTTGATCCATCCCCAGACTCTTGGAGCCTCACATGCTTATCACCAAAGGCCTCGATTTTGCCATGTGAATGGACCCCTTCAAGAACGAACTCTAGGCCTCTAGTCTTAACTCCAGACTGGTAGAATATTGCTCTCTTTCTCTGTACTGAACTGGAACTGGCAAAGGTGTAAGCCCCAAGCCAGTAGAGCCATGGTGGAGAGATGATCTTTTGCAGAGCCACACAAACACAGGAGGGAAGAGATGCCAGAGGCAGGGAACTAAAGACTCCTCAACTCCATGTTCCAGAATTTTCATTGGCACTAGTTCACAAGCTCCATTTGATGAACCGTTGTATGTTGAGTTTCACCCCATGGAACTGGAAAACCCTGATGAACACAGTTGATGGCATACATGCTGATGTTCTCAGCATGTAGGACAGCATCTGGAATTGAGTGAACATGCAAAAGGAAGACATGGAGGACTGAATGAATGCAAACCTTGTCCACTCAGATGACATAGCCTACTGAGAAAAAGGAAAACAAATAGTCTAGTAGAGCTATCCATATAGACTCCCAAGAGTCCTGGGGGAGGGGGTGTTCATGAGGAAGAGTAGGGGCATCCAGGTATAGCAGGTACAGTATTACAGACAGTAAAAATCATGCACTTGTCCTTTCAAAAATCCTTGCAGGGTACCAAGGCTACATGGCCTGTCTGAGTGGCAGTATTTTTTATATGTGTGCAGAACTGGCACACTTATTAACTGGTCCACTACAATCAGGGGGGACTTACTCTGTACCAAGCACCATGTGGGATGTTTAGAATTCAAGGCTGATTATTATCTGGTGCTCATCTTTACATTTTTGTTTTTTGTCGTTGTTGATCGTGGGGCCTGAACTCTGGGCCTGGGCACTGTCCCTCAGCTCTTTAGCTCAAGGCTGAGCCACAACACCACTTCTGGGTTTTTTTGCTTATGTGATGCTGAGGAATCGAACCCAGTACATCATGCATGCAAGGCAAGCATTGTACCACTGAGCCACCTTCCCAGTCCCCTCATTACATCTTTAAAAAGCTCAGATCTTGATAAGGGAGACATAGAAGAAAGCACGTAATAATAGTAGAGATAATGGGCATGAAAGAGAAGGGAGCCACAGAGCCCAGAGAAGGGTGGATTCCTGTGGAGGTGGTTATTGAGTAATCTCATTAAATGTTGATAACCTGGCCACTATCAAAATAATAGAATGTTACCTTCTGAATCATTATATTATCTGCAGAGGAAACTTAAAAAAATACTTTAACAAGGCTAGGCAAAGTAGCTCATGCCTGTAATCCTAGCTCCTTGGGAAGTAAAGATTTGGAGGATCATAGTTATAGCTGGTTAGCCTAGACAAAGACTTGGCAAGACCTCAACTCTACCAATAAAATCTGGGTGTGGTAGTATAGGCCTGTCATCCCAGCTATGTGGGAAACATAAATAGGAGGATCAAAATCCAGGCTGGCCCAAGCATAGATGGGAAATCGTATCTCAAAACAACAAAAATGGAAAGGGGTATGACACAAATGGTAGAGTGTCAATGCAAGGTCCTGAGTTCAAACCACAATACCACTAGACAAACAACAAAACTCCTTTAAGACTTTGTAACAACCTCGTTGGGAACTTAATGCATAGGGCATATGGACCTTGGGAGTTGAAAGAATGATCATTAATGTCAGTCTTTATGACTTTGTAAAGGCAAATGGAATGAAACCAATCTCCACGTAATCTCAATCTTATGTAATAATATCCTCACATTTGGTGACTGTTCAGTAGACCTGACAGTGCCTTGTGTGGATTATTTTCATCATTATGAGACAGGAGCTCGGATTGGCTCCGTGTGCAGATGGAAATGCTAATTTTCAGAGTCTGGTAAACCCCAAAGATCATTCATAGGATTGTGGCTAAGAGTGGGGAGTGGGGCTTTGAATTTTGGCAAGCCGAAGGCAGAACCAACACAGATGCAACACAGAATCCAAACATGATTAAGCCAGTATCAGCATACTCGAGGTTTGGAGACAGGCTTGTGGAACATACTCTTTCCAGATTTGACAGGAAATACCAATACCTGTAGTTCTTTCATTTTACCTGCAAGGCACACAACATTAAATGGTTTCCTAATGTCTTTCCTTTTCTTCTTCTTTTTATAGAGTATGTCAAATACACAGCCAAATATAGGGAAATAGGAGACCTGTGGTCCCTCTTTTCAGCTTTATTAAAACCTAGTGTTTCACAAGATGGTTTTTGAAAAAAATAAAACACTGTGGAACCAATACTTCTGCTGCCTCTACGATGACAACCAAAGGCCAGTTCCCTCCTAGAAGCGCCTCCCTTACGCTCCAGCAGGCCCAGGCCCCCTCCTCCTGCAGGCTGCCCTCAAGTGCACATGAGTCACTGCTATGCTATGTCATTCTCAGGCACCGAAAGGAAGGAAATCAGTGGGTGTGACAAAGATTTAAAATAACTCACTTGAATGATCCAGAATGTTCTCTTGGAAGTGTTCAGATGCTCTCCTAAGAGGCTGAAGAGGGCTGTCCTGGGAGATTTCTCTGAGCTGCTGTGATAGGAGGCGGCTTGAGGAGGAGGCTTCCACAGTCTCTCCAAGCTTCTCCAACTCCCACTCCTCAGCTGGAGGACAGTCAAAATTATCTCCTGGAAAAGCAGAAGGGCTCATTCTGTAAGAGTGTGTGTGTGTGTGTGTGTGAGAGAGAGAGAGAGAGAGAGAGACAGACAGACAGACAGACAGACAGACTCTAGAGAGACAGCGAGAGAGACAGAGAGAGACACAATGACACAGAGAGACACAGAAAGACATAGAGAGAGACAGGGGAGGGGAAAGGAATGTGTTTTGTAACTGCTCAATGCTTGGTCTTAACAACTCAAATAGCAACCCTGATCCATTGTTACAATGCAATAGTAGGATTTCTGGATGTGATGGTATTTCCATTGGTTCTCGCCCTCAAAGGCTGAACAGAAAGGTCTTTGGTGCAGAGATAAGCAATGGTCAGAGACCTGCAAGTTTAGTGAAGGTAGCCGAATGCCATTTGGTCAGAATTAAAGCAACTCAAAGGAGCCTAGGGGAAGGTGAAGCTAGAAATACACCTTGAAGCTCAGTCATGAAGCCAGTGACTTCACACCTGAAGAGCGGAGAAGGCACACTGCAGGCAGAAGTGTGATGGAGCATGCCTGAGAAAGAGAAGCAGAGTTCACACAGTCACGCAGCATTTGTATATGGTTAACAAAGTATATCATTTTGACATATAATGAAATCCAAGTGACTCTGGAAGAATGTCATGAAATGGTATCATGTAGAGAAGGACACTTGGGTGAAGGATGTGTGGTGAGTAGATGAACCTCACATATTTATATCATTCATCATCATAGTAAAGCCAGCTACTTCACTGATTCAACCTTGATTGAATGTGACTATGTATCAGGAACTGGCTGCACTTCTAAAAAGCAATAGTAGATTAGACAGATGTCACCTCTGCTCACATGCAGCTTATAGTTTCATAAGAAACAGAATGGGAGAATAACTTGTGACAGGTATCATTAGGAAGGCCTCCTTCCATAAAATACATACTGGCTAAAATACTGTACACTAAACATCTTCTTTGTTATTTGATTCAAAGAGGCTGTTTAATGTATACATAGTTTCATGAATCGGTATTAATTCTATGATATCCCTAACATTAATCTAATACTCCTTCCATAAAACAAGCTAGTTCATCTAATAACCATATATCACAAAGTTTCAAATATGCCAGGTTACTCCAGAGTAATAACTGGTGTCTTCAACATGAGCTCATTAAGGAATGCTATTTTATCATCATCTTGATTGGATTTTATTAGAAAGGATACATGTTGAGAATATCCCTCAGCTACATGCAAGTTTAGCTTTACAGCTCAGACTCTCTGCATGTCTCTGATTTGATTCATCTAGCATGTAACCATTCTCTAGGTTTTATCTTTGCTGGTCCTTGTGATATCTACTCAAGGGTCTAACTTTATTCCCATGTATGACCTTAGGCAAGAACTTGAGGCAGAGATAATTAAATTTGATCCACTCATAGATAGTAGGAAGAAGTCTTGTATGGGATGCAGATGTTTCCTGGGCTAATATCTAAAAGATGGCACATATCCAATATTTTTAACTATGAAGCTTAAAAGAAAAGGACATTCCTAGGGGGACAAACCAAGGAAATTCAGAATTCTAAACAAGAACTGTGGTTAAAGCTACTCAGATGAGTGGAAAAGGCTACTTACAAGCCCTAGTGATCAAAAGACTGATTCAAAGAACTCCACAAGAACTGGGGAAATGCCTTAGACTGAAGAGAAATAGAAAATTATAACTCAGTTTCTGCAGGGACACAAATGTCTATTTGCCTAATAAAAAAGTTAGGTCAAACAGCAAAAGAATGTTCAGTAGTTCAGGGAAAAAGAATGAACTGTCTCCCTAAGATTTTTTAAAATGGTTATTAGGATAGGTTAAAATCTGTACTAATCTGAGAAGCTGATATTAATAAAAAGTCTGAGGTTTATAGTAGCCCTGTGATGTCTGCAAAAAAGGCAATTGAGAAACTCTTCCAACTTAAGCTGTGCAGCTTCCCACAGAGAAAGCTCAAGGAAGATGAGGCCACAAGCCAAAGTTACAAACTGTCCAAGAAGATAATCACCCATGGGCAAGGAAAATAAATACAGGAATACAGGAAAAGAGAGCTCTAGACTAGCAGATGCTTGGGGGGCATCTTCAAGCTTTGAGCAGTGGGTGTAGTGTTTGAGGAAATTGTCCTAACATCTTTTTACCTTGGATAAACGCTGAAATAGACTTGTAAAATTATTTTTAATCCATACAATCTTTTTTTATCTAACTAAGACCATCAGTTCTAAGATCCACATGAATTTTGGTTTTATCACTAAAAGAAATGCTCAAGTTATCTAAATATTTGACAGATACTTAACAAATCCATCTATTGTAAGCCATCCAGAGAGATGGGAAGTATACAAGGTAGAAAACCCAGATATTTTGCCAAAGGAGGTTAAAATATTAGGTTATAAGTCTGTGCACATAACAGTCACCAGAAGGAAGCAGTAATAAAGAGACTGCTCTTTGGATGTAAACAGATAGCATTTTTTTAAAAGGTGGTTTGGGGAAGCTGCAAACACTTGGGCTTCAGAAAGACCAGACCATGAATTTATTCTTACTTCTATTTCTGTTTGGTATTTGGGTTTTTATTTTTACTGTTTGCGTCTTTAAAAATTAGTGCATATTAAAGTTTCAACACAGTTCATGGTGATATGTCTGTACATGAATGAATGTTCTTTGATCAAGTTGTCCTGTCTATTTACTCTTCAGATTGTAAATCATAGTAAGTGTAATACAGGCACTTTGCTTAATTATCTGACCCCAGGTTTCCTCATCTACAAAATAGGACAACAGTTTCCATTTTTCAGTTTTGTTGTGATAATTAAATGGGACAAGGACAAATGTAGACACTTGAAATACAGTATGGTGGGGGAGAAACAAAAGCAATAATCATGGTAATAAATAGAGTTATCAGCAGAAGGTCAGGTGGCTTGGTGGGGGTAGGAGGGCACTGGTAAGTTATTAAAGGCTGGCTTGAAATGGAAAAGGAGTGCTCAACAATTTTCAACTCTAGCATAAAAGGAGCTTGTTATCCAACCTTGGAAAGGGGATTGTTTTCCTTTGAATTGAGCATAGAGGATATTGCCCTACCATAAAAGACTTGTCCTGTTTCTAAACACCTCAAGGTACAGGGTTTATCAAATATGGTCCATTTACTATATGACAACATGCCTTCTTGAAGAAAGCATTCAAAGGGAAGAAAAGGACTGTTACCACTGCCACCTGTCCCCTTGCAAAGCTGATTATTCACAGCACAAGGATCTCCAGGAAACACACACTGGAAGTGAAGCAGGTAATAGCCAAGGGGTTAGTACCAAGAACAACAAAAGACACAGGAAGAGCTAAGGGAATTCAGAAGACTTTCTGTAGCATGTCGTAGAAATTTCAACAGGAATGTCTGGGAAATCTGAGCAGCCCTCCTTAATAAATAGCAAGGCTTTCTCACTTGGATAGCTGGTGGGGGACATCTGGAGCATAAAATGACTAATGAAAGACATGGACTGTGGCAGGCCATAGCGACACCCCAGAGAAGATGCTAAGCTAGAAAATTCTGGCAACTACAGCAAGAATAGATGTGAAGACAAACACCTCAAGGGCGTAGGGCAGGGAGATCTATTTATTTTTCAGTGCATTCATTGCCCACATGGCCCTGTGCAAGGAGCTGGGGGATACCAATCCAATTACATCTGCTGCATCCTGCTTCTGGAGGAGACACAGGCCAACGAGAGAGCCCTGCAAAGGCCAAGAGGCCATTGTTGTGATGAGCGCTCACCCAGGTCATCGGGTGGAAGTTTAGGAAGTTTAGGTGTCTGTCTTTGAAAATCTGGGGAGGCTTCACAGAGGAGGCAGTGATGAAATGGAAATATGGAGGATGAGTAGCAGTTCTTCTAGAAAATGGCAGGAAGAGAATAGACCAGGCAGAGGAGGAGGAGGTGAGGGAAGAAGGAGGAGGATGCAGAAGTCTCAAGACCTCAGTCTGTGAGGCATCATGGGAGCTCAGGCTCTGCATGGCTAGAGGTAGACCTGTGAGATGGTTCTGGCTGGAACACTGGAACATGAACGTTGGAGCTCTGGGAAATGGTGACAAAAAGGAGATGTGTCTGTTTTTCCTGGTTGTACCTGCTCTTGTCCAAACACCCTCCTCTCTACCTGCACAGAATCATAATAAATGCTTTTATAAAATGATTGTGTAAATAGAGATTAAATGATGGGTAATTGGTATGATTTTTTTTTCTTATCAGTCATAAAGCTTGAACTCTGGGCCTGAGCTCTGTCTCTGAGCTCTGTTTGTTCAAGGCTAGGGCTCTACCACTTTGAGCTACAGCACCACTTCTGTTTTAGAATCTCATGGACTTTCCTGCCCCAGTTGGCATCAAACGATGGTCCTCAGATCTCAGCCTCCTGAGTAGCTGGGGTTATAGGCATGAGTCACCAGTGTCCAGCTAATTTTTATGATTTTTACTGTATCATCTCCCTCACTAGACTGAAAAACTTCTCAAGAAACAGGTCACGCTATTTGTCTTAGTATCTAGCTAACCCCTAGTGAGCACTCACTAGACTTACTATGTGACTGAATGGAGAGTTATGAGGGGGGTGGTGGTTAAGGCAGGTTTGTAGGCTAAAGGCTAATCTGAGTCTGTTATAATTGAGTAACAGTAAATGTGGAGATATTCAGTCAGTTTTGAGCCCTGTGAAAGATTGAAAAGACCTGAGACTAAGTTGCTGAGGGAGCAGAATGGCCTCATTGTCCAGCTTGAGGACTCAGTCTGCCAGTGGCCCTATGTACAATGGAAACTGACTAGCCTTTGGCTGGGGAATTCCTGCCAAGTCCCTAGGTTCCTCCCTAACCTCATCCTACCAATAACTTGTGGCCATATGACAAAGCAGTCTGTGGAAGCATCCTTGCTGTTGCCATAGAGAAAGAAAGAGATAGAACATGGAATATGCAAATCATCTACTAAGGACCACACCTAAGAGGAGGTCCTGAATCAATGGTAACTGCAGC